ATATTTCTTTTCAAGATTTTCTTATTTAATCACTAATGTACATATATTTATATTTATAGATACATATATATTCAGTCATCTTTTCTCTTTTACCATATCTCTCTAATATTTTGCTCCTTACTATTTTTCTATTTTCTTTATTGTTTTATTTTATTTTAATATATTTTCTCCTACTGTGCATGCTGCTGAGTGACTGCTGCTCGTCAAACACATTTAATTGCAATGTTGACCCTGTGCTAACTTGCATATGACAAATAAATCTGAAAACTGAAACTAAACTAAGGAAAGAAGGATGGAAGGAAAGATCACAAGCTTTGTCACAAAGGAAAGAAGGATGGAAGGAAGGATCACAAGCTTTGTCACAAAGGAAAGAAGGATGGGAGGAAGGATCACATGCATTGTCACAAAGGAAAGAAGGATGGAAGGAAGGAAGGATTACAAGCATTGTCACAAAGGAAAGAAGGATGGAAGGAAGGATCACAAGCATTGTCACAAAGGAAAGAAGGATGGAAGGAAGGATCACATGCATTGTCACAAAGGAAAGAACGATGGAAGGCAGGATGACATGCAATGTCACAAAGGAAAGAAGGATGGAAAGAAGAATCACATGCGTTGTCACAAAGGAAAGAAGGATGGAAGGAAGGATCACATGCATTGTCACAAAGGAAAGAAGGATGGAAGGAAGGATCACATGCATTGTCACAAAGGAAAGAACGATGGAAGGCAGGATGACATGCAATGTCACAAAAGAAAGAAGGATGGAAGGAAGAATCACATGCATTGTCACAAAGGAAAGAACGATGGAAGGCAGGATGACATGCAATGTCACAAAGGAAAGAAGGATGGAAGGAAGAATCACATGCATTGTCACAAAGGAAAGAAGGATGGAAGGAAGGATCACAAGCATTGTCACAAAGGAAAGAAGGATGGAAGGAAGGATCACAAGCATTGTCACAAAGGAAAGAAGGATGGAAGGAAGGATCACATGCATTGTCACAAAGGAAAGAACGATGGAAGGCAGGATGACATGCAATGTCACAAAGGAAAGAAGGATGGAAGGAAGAATCACATGCATTGTCACAAAGGAAAGAAGGATGGAAGGAAGGATCACAAGCATTGTCACAAAGGAAAGAAGGATGGAAGGAAGGATCACAAGCATTGTCACAAAGGAAAGAAGGATGGAAGGAAGGAAAGATCACAAGCTTTGTCACAAGTGCAATACTTTAATTTTCTGCTGCTCATTCCTGTGCAATATCCCATCTGCCCTCCCGTCATATTTCTTTTCAAGATTTTCTTATTTAATCACTAATGTACATATATTTATATTTATAGATACATATATATTCAGTCATCTTTTCTCTTTTACCATGTCTCTCTAATATTTTGCTCCTTACTATTTTTCTATTTTCTTTATTGTTTTATTTTATTTTAATATATTTTCTCCTACTGTGCATGCTGCTGAGTGACTGCTGCTCGTCAAACACATTTAATTGCAATGTTGACCCTGTGCTAACTTGCATATGACAAATAAATCTGAAAACTGAAACTATACTAAGGAAAGAAGGATGGAAGGAAAGATCACAAGCTTTGTCACAAAGGAAAGAAGGATGGAAGGAAGGATCACAAGCTTTGTCACAAAGGAAAGAAGGATTGATGGAAGGATCACATGCATTGTCACAAAGGAAATAAGGATGGAAGGAAGGATCACAAGCATTGTCACAAAGGAAAGAAGGATGGAAGGAAGGATCACATGCATTGTCACAAAGGAAAGAACGATGGAAGGAAGGAAGGATCACAAGCATTGTCACAAAGGAAAGAAGGATGGAAGGAAGGATCACAAGCATTGTCACAAAGGAAAGAAGGATGGAAGGAAGGATCACATGCAATGTCACAAAGGAAAGAAGGATGGAAGGAAGAAAGGAAGGATCACAAGCTTGTCACAAAGGAAAGAAGGATGGAAGGAAGGAAGGAAGGATCACAAGCTTTGTCACAAGTGCAATACTTTAATTTTCTGCTGCTCATTCCTGTGCAATATCCCATCTGCCCTCCCGTCATATTTCTTTTCAAGATTTTCTTATTTAATCACATATATTTATATTTATAGATACATATATATTCAGTCATCTTTTCTCTTTTACCATGTCTCTCTAATATTTTGCTCCTTGCTATTTTTCTATTTTCTTTATTATTTTATTTTATTTTAATATATTTTCTCCTACTGTGCATGCTGCTGAGTGACTGCTGCTCGTCAAACACATTTAATTGCAATGTTGACCCTGTGCTAACTTGCATATGACAAATAAATCTGAAAACTGAAACTAAACTAAGGAAAGAAGGATGGAAGGAAAGATCACAAGCTTTGTCACAAAGGAAAGAAGGATGGAAGGAAGGATCACAAGCTTTGTCACAAAGGAAAGAAGGATGGGAGGAAAGATCACAAGCTTTGTCACAAAGGAAAGAAGGATGGATGGAAGGATCACATGCATTGTCACAAAGGAAAGAAGGATGGAAGGAAGGAAGGATCACAAGCATTGTCACAAAGGAAAGAAGGATGGAAGGAAGAATCACATGCATTGTCACAAAGGAAAGAAGGATGGAAGGAATGATCACAAACTTTGTCACAAAGGAAAGAAGGATAGAAGGAAGGATCACAAGCTTTGTCACAAAGGAAAGAAGGATGGAAGGAAAGATCACATGCATTGTCACAAAGGAAAGAAGGATGGAAGGAAGGATCACATGCATTGTCACAAAGGAAAGAAGGATGGAAGGAAGGATCACAAGCATTGTCACAAAGGAAAGAAGGATGGAAGGAAGGATCAAAGCATTGTCACAAAGGAAAGAAGGATGGAAGGAAGGATCACAAACTTTGTCACAAAGGAAAGAAGGATGGAAGGAAGGAAAGATCACAAGCTTTGTCACAAGTGCAATACTTTAATTTTCTGCTGCTCATTCCTGTGCAATATCCCATCTGCCCTCCCGTCATATTTCTTTTCAAGATTTTCTTATTTAATCACTAATGTACATATATTTATATTTATAGATACATATATATTCAGTCATCTTTTCTCTTTTACCATGTCTCTCTAATATTTTGCTCCTTACTATTTTTCTATTTTCTTTATTGTTTTATTTTATTTTAATATATTTTCTCCTACTGTGCATGCTGCTGAGTGACTGCTGCTCGTCAAACACATTTAATTGCAATGTTGACCCTGTGCTAACTTGCATATGACAAATAAATCTGAAAACTGAAACTAAACTAAGGAAAGAAGGATGGAAGGAAAGATCACAAGCTTTGTCACAAAGGAAAGAAGGATGGAAGGAAGGATCACAAGCTTTGTCACAAAGGAAAGAAGGATGGGAGGAAGGATCACATGCATTGTCACAAAGGAAAGAACGATGGAAGGAAGGAAGGATCACAAGCATTGTCACAAAGGAAAGAAGGATGGAAGGAAGGATCACAAGCATTGTCACAAAGGAAAGAAGGATGGGAGGAAGGATCACATGCATTGTCACAAAGGAAAGAACGATGGAAGGCAGGATGACATGCAATGTCACAAAGGAAAGAAGGATGGAAGGAAGAATCACATGCACTGTCACAAAGGAAAGAAGGATGGAAGGAAGGATCACATGCATTGTCACAAAGGAAAGAACGATGGAAGGCAGGATGACATGCAGTGTCACAAAGGAAAGAAGGATGGAAGGAAGAATCACATGCATTGTCACAAAGGAAAGAAGGATGGAAGGAAGGATCACATGCATTGTCACAAAGGAAAGAAGGATGGAAGGAAGGATCACAAGCATTGTCACAAAGGAAAGAAGGATGGAAGGAAGGATCACATGCATTGTCACAAAGGAAAGAACGATGGAAGGCAGGATGACATGCATTGTCACAAAGGAAAGAAGGATGGAAGGATGGATCACAAGCTTTGTCACAAAGGAAAGAAGGATGGAAGGAAGGATCACAAGCTTTGTCACAAAGGAAAGAAGGATGGAAGGAAGGATCACATGCATTGTCACAAAGGAAAGAAGGATGGAAGGATGGATCACAAGCTTTGTCACAAAGGAAAGAAGGATGGAAGGAAGGATCACAAGCTTTGTCACAAAGGAAAGAAGGATGGAAGGAAGGATCACAAGCTTTGTCACAAAGGAAAGAAGGATGGAAGGAAGGATCACAAGCAATGTCACAAAGGAAAGAAGGATGGAAGGAAGAATCACATGCATTGTCACAAAGGAAAGAAGGATGGAAGGATGGATCACAAGCTTTGTCACAAAGGAAAGAAGGATGGAAGGAAGGATCACAAGCTTTGTCACAAAGGAAAGAAGGATGGAAGGAAGGATCACATGCAATGTCACAAAGGAAAGAAGGATGGAAGGAAGGAAGGAAGGATCACAAGCTTTGTCACAAAGGAAAGAAGGATGGAAGGAAGGAAGGAAGGATCACAAGCTTTGTCACAAAGGAAAGAATGATGGAAGGAAGGAAAGATCACAAGCTTTGTCACAAGTGCAATACTTTAATTTTCTGCTGCTCATTCCTGTGCAATATCCCATCTGCCCTCCCGTCATATTTCTTTTCAAGATTTTCTTATTTAATCACTAATGTACATATATTTATATTTATAGATACATATATATTCAGTCATCTTTTCTCTTTTACCATGTCTCTCTAATATTTTGCTCCTTACTATTTTTCTATTTTCTTTATTGTTTTATTTTATTTTAATATATTTTCTCCTACTGTGCATGCTGCTGAGTGACTGCTGCTCGTCAAACACATTTAATTGCAATGTTGACCCTGTGCTAACTTGCATATGACAAATAAATCTGAAAACTGAAACTAAACTAAGGAAAGGAGGATGGAAGGAAAGATCACAAGCTTTGTCACAAAGGAAAGAAGGATGGAAGGAAGGATCACAAGCTTTGTCACAAAGGAAAGAAGGATGGGAGGAAGGTGTTACGTCTGGTTCAGTTTGGGTAAGAAGGAAAAACAGCCGAGTCCGTGTAGGTGACAAACATAGTGATTTTATTGCACACTTCTAAGACAGAAGCATGGGAAGACAAGCGTACAGCCACAGATCTCCAAAGAGTGGACCGTTCCCCATCCTTATATAACCCATGATGACATGGTCCAAAGTTCTCCTTATACAAACATCAGATGATACTTTAGAGAAAACCAAGTGTGTGACATGGCATGTTGTGCAGTTCTGTGAGCCTGTGTGTCCAACTAGAGAATGTCCTGACATGACCTCCCTGTGTAAATAAGGGTGAACGTGCGTGTTTACATAACTCTCTATGTGCATGTTCTGATGTAGGCCTGCAAATGAATTAGAACAAGGTCCTGCTAGACCCTCCAGTTATGGACGGTGAATACAATGCTGTGGATACCATTTGAGACTTGATTACAATGATGATAACCTGCATACCTTAATCTTTACTCAGATTACCATAGATATAAAACAAAGATTATACTGTCATCAGATTCCACAATGGTAAATGATTAATCAATGATAACTGATTATGAGAATAAAATATCTCCTGGTCACATTCCTCCTCTTTGGGCTGGCTTGCCAGCCCAACTCACACCAGGATTTGTCTCCAAACCAAACAAACACGTTATGACACTTATCAACCCCAACACCTCCGTTGTTTTCCAATTTTCCCACAACCCAGCTGTTCTTTTAGCTTCAGACTCGAGTTTCAGCCTGTCACGCTTCAGGCCCCTTCACCACCTCCTCTTGGAGTGAAGAAACACCCTCGGATTCTTCTTTCTTCAGCTCCCCAGGTAGACTACTGAGTGAGCTAGCCACGTTGCAGAGGATTATTCCGCCTCTGTTTTACCACCCGTGTTGTGACTTGGAATGAGCCTTTCCCTGAGCTCCCCTCTGCTCATTCACCTTGAGACCACCGGAAACAGAACTATTACTTCCGGAGCTTGGCACGCTCCCTCCTTCTCCTGGAATCTCAGTAGTACAGCTCTCTGTGCCATTTCCGCTGTTCTGCTCAAGATGATCCCTGACGCCTCTCCGCTCACGTCTCATCCAAGCATCCCCCGAGACCTCATTGTTCTGGTGTCTATTCCTTTCTCTGCAAGAGACAGAACGCCAACACATCCCCCTCGCTGGCTCTCCTAACCTAATGTTGTTGACTTTGTTTATTCCACTCCTATACTATGCCTATGTGTGTAAGCGTGCATGCACTTAACCCTCTGCACGTGAAGTCAATAGCTCCAATATATCAATCCGATCCGTTGTCGGATGAAGCTTTTGACCTTCACAGACTAAGTGCCAGCTCCTTATAAGCACATTTGCAATGGGTGTATAAAAATGAACAACAGACCTCAAACAAATTGGGCATTCTTAATTCTAACTTAAGTGTAGTACTCAGTTTCTGATCATCTAATTATACTTCTCACTGGTCCCCTAAATTGTCTAGAAACCTTTAATTTTGCCATACCTAAATTATTAAAACACAAACCAAATCATAGACCCCCTATCTAGCTTTTGCCTTTATGAGCACACTTCAATAATGAGCAACAACCTGCAATCTGTACCAAAAATCTTCATGGTCACACCTGCAATTAAAGATCAAATGCACTTTATACCTGTTTTAGTTCTTCCTTATATAGAACCTCCTCAGTTTCAGGTTAGTTGCGATTAATCTCAATTAATCGTTCTAGTTGTATTTTGCAATTCAGCTAAAAAGCAAACCTGTTAAAGTAAACAGCTTATTTACAACCACCTGCAAATCATAAGAGTAATAAAAGATTCAGCACAACAGACAAGCATCATGTTCAGGATTTCTCCAATCATTATATCACTTTTATTGCCACAATTTGTTTTATTCACACTTGGGCAATATTACTCCAAGAGAGAGAGCCCCTAATGGCCAGTTAGTGGGCTCTAGGTTAAACTGTCCCCAAATTAGTTATTTGTTATTATTACTTGTTTCCATGTCACTTGTCTGTTTTCTACTGCACCCTTCTCACACATTCTTAACAAAGCAAAGCAAACATTAGCAGCACATCCACATTCCAGAGGTGCTATAAAAAGATTTCCTGTAAAAAGAATCACACATAAATTCATCCACCCTCTTGTTCTATCTCGGTGGAGGTTAACCTTAAGTCGTAGTCAAGTCTTGTCAGCTTTTACCAGTCAGTCCGTTTGTTTTATTTCCAGTCTTTCATCCATTTATTCATTCATCCATTTTTCTTTCTTTGCTGATAGTGGAAACCATCGCCGCATTTAGATTTCCGCCCTCAGCAAAATGAGCTCATTCCAAAAAGAAAAAGAAGAACTTGAGATCCCCATAAGTGGTTTCCTCCAGAGCCAATTCTAATGCGGAGAAACTCACTTACAACACTTTTTCTCGCCGCCTTGTAACGCTTGTGATTTCCGATATGCAGATCTGCTTAAAGAAAAGATTCTCAAACAAAAATCAGTGCACTGTTCAAAATATAAAACAAAATAAAATAAAAGATAACAAAAACAAAAATACCAACGCCCGGGTCTTAGGACTTGTCACTGAATATTCCTCCCATCAATAAAAATACCCACCTAAACCTACACAGAGTCAAATCAACACCACCTCAACCTTTTCATATTCCTACACCTATATGTTTTGCGTTCGTGAAACAAAATAGAACCGTTTCCATATTAAGTAATTTGAGCTCTTGAAATGTTTTAATTCTCTTAATTCTGCCTGTTTATTTCAACACTTATTCAATGACTTTTATTCAACTGCTACTTGGTCACTCAAATCTTAGCTGTTCAAATTGCCTAGAGTTCAACAAAGTCTAGATCCCCGTTATCATGAAACTTGAACGGGTGTACGATGATTTACTTACAGTAATTTAGAATCATCACTCAACCTAGCTCTAATACTGGCACTGCGTGACTTTTCTCACACTGGAAACCAGAATTTAGTACAGAACTTTAATACCTCAAGCAATCGTGTTCAAGGGCTGCCCCCCCTTTCTCTTCTTCTTTGTCCGTGTGTTCCTCCTTCTATTCAATCTCCATCACAATGATGTGGCGCTCTGAAATAAGACTCACACTGTTAATTCATCGTTTTCACTCTGCACCAGTGCTCAGGCTGTTTTCTTTTCTTTTTAGTGTACAGTAAACAATTGAGTCGAGGCCTTAAGCCCCAGATATCTCACACAGGCATCGTGTGTGCTCCCCAGACCACACAAATGCCCTCTGGGCTTATTATTATAGCAAATTCTATATTTGACTTTGTTGTGTGCAGCATTGAGCCTTTGTCAGTAAAGCATTCTTCATTGCAGCAGCTGGAGCATTATGTGTCACTTCTTAGTGAATTGAATCAACATTTTGATTTTGGTGCCTGGGTGTGTATCAGTTTTCACTCCCTCAACGAGTGCATAAGTGTTCATGTGTGTGTTTCTCTTCATTCTAAGTCGGCGGATGCAGAAGTGTGTGTTTGTGTGTTGTATTCATCACCTTCCTGTTCTGTTGTTTGGGTAAACCAGCGGCCTGAAGCATGCCCTGAGGTCCTGCCCTCCTCTTTGGGTCTGTTTGCATCCGTTGTTGCAGCTGCCTGCATCTTCTCCTTGTAACTTGACCCTTTTGCTTCTGTAGCTCTTTCAGGGTTTACTCCTGCTGTTGGAACTTTGCGTCCAGTCTGACGACCTCCTGCTCCAGCAAGCTTCCGCCTGTTTACAAGTCCTGTACGTGAAACTCCAAGTCTGACTGATGAGTTCAATTAGCAGCCAGCTCCTCCGGAGCCGTGCTCAATTTCTGCTCCGATGCCTTGAGCTCTTACTGAGGGCAAAAACCTCAGAGTCTTTTCCTTCCACGTCAGATTGGAGTCTGTTTATGTTGTCCTTACTTTGCTCCACGGCCTTCTGCAGCTCTGCTGTTCGGCTCTTCTCAGAGGTCAGCATTCTTTTGCTCACCCTCCCTTTTCCTCCGGGCTTAATGCGCGTCTCGTCACAGCTCTGTCAGCTGAAGCTTTAGCGTTCTCCATCTCCGCTGCATGAGATTGTTTTCTGCAGCACTGTTGACATCCTCAAGTTGTTGTTGTGAGTCCAGCTGGTGTGGCCTTCAGGGGTCAAAGGGTCAAAGATGGTCGCGGAGAGGGCAACAATGGTAGAGGGGAGGGTAGGAGTCCAGGTCAGCTTCGGCTTTCAGAAAAAAACAAAAACAAAACAAAACAGGCGAACAGGAAAATGATGTTGTGCTGACTGTGTTGTGTTGGCTGTGTTATCCCCCTTTTTTGTTTTTTCTCACCATATAATCAACTTATAACCCCCCAAGTTGACAGGACAACACAGGTACGTGTTAAAATTCTTAAGATCCTGTTTAGAAACCTAAAAAGGAATTTTCTACCATTCAGTAGTCATTTGTCTTAAACAATCAACAAAAACATGTCCCAATTCGACCCTTTTAACCACTAAATTTGTCGTATCCCCACTTGTTCATCAGACCAGTGTCTTTGTCTTTTGGCGTTAAGTTGTTGTCCTGCAACCCAGAGAGTTTATTTGTCAGTAATGTATAAACTATATCATTTAAAAACAGGTGTATGTTAAATGTCGCTACTTTAATCTTGCATGTACGTGCACATGTATGTAAGCTGTTTCTTCATTGCATGTATGGGTGCGTCTGTATATGGAATAAAATAAAACAGAATTCAACTTTATAGTCATTGCACATGCACAGGTACAGGGCAACGAAATGCAGTGTATGGGTTAATTTAACTTCTTCTCAAATGAGGCATTTCTCTAACACGCACATGTGTCTGTTCCTCGCACTTCTCATACCTTTCTCTGGTTGTGTGTGGTTTTATTTGTTTCAGTCATTTACCAGGAACATCTTTTCCTCTTCTCCATGTCTTCCGCCAGAGGTTAACACTGGTGAGATTCAGGGACACAGCCCCCAGAGCAGTTCAGCGAGAAAAACCCGCCTCAAACTACATTCTCTCTTTTTTTTTTCTTTTTGTTTTCCGGGAGGGGTGGGGAAAACTCTGGTGTCCAGCCGTGAATTTTTAGCCAAAGCTTGGCCTGTCTTCTGCTTCCGTACTCAGGTTTCCAGGTTAAGAAAAAACACCTGTATGAGGACACTAAACATACATTTAGTATTCGTATAAACATAACTGCCTAAATTATTGAACTCTTGAGGAGGGTTGATTTAACTCTTTACTAACTTTAAACCCCACAAGTAAAAATTTCATATGTTCTTGACTGCAAACACATAAACTGCTTGATGTTATTACTAATCATTTTCCTCCACAACACTCCAAATCATGTTCTCTCTTGTGTCCAGCAGGGGAATAAGGTGACCTCTACTCTCACTGCTTCCCCAGTCAGAGACAATATCTCACTCACACTTCCACACTTTATTGTTTTCCTTTTTTCTTGACTATTATTATTTCACAGAAAATCAACTGACCTACTTCTCCTCTTCTGTCATGCAGAAAGTCACACACACACAGCACTCGGCCCCCACCTTGTCTTTCTCTCACAGACACACCTACACACACACACACACTCTAATCGTCCTTTCACAACAAAACTTCACAAACGTCCACTGCAACAGTTTTAAGCACGCAAAGCCAGCGAAAATTCACTCTCACATTCACTTCCCTAACAACTACAAAGTTTCACATACAAGAATAATCCAGACAATCTACCATGCATCGTTTTCCCTCCTTATACGAGAGACTCAACCAACTTTTAAAAGCTTTATTTACACAACATCAAATAAAGCACAGATCTCTGCCTTTTCCAGGTAGAGAAGGAAATACGACCCAACTAAAAATCTCCCAACAATCACACAAAGTTCTCAAATTTTGTCAAGATATTTATCCCCGCACTCCTACCTTACTGGAGTTTTACACAAGGGATCATTACTCATGGAATTCTATTAAACCATAGTCACATTAGGAAATCACAAACACAAAACTACCAGGTTTAGTTTATTTAATATACTGAAATCTTTTAACCATACTTCTGAGACCCCCTTTCACCTAACGAAAAGAAGCTCAGAAGGACAGATATGGAGAAATAGGGCCGCAGCTGTACACACACACACTCCGCTCGTACTCGCGCGTGTGCCCTCTACCGCGCAGCACCACACAACCCCTCCTTTCTCCTAAGGAGAAATACACACACACACACGCTCCTCTTTTCTAACAGCGAGAGAAGAGAAAGGCGTTTTCGTTTTTTCACACTCTGGATCCACACAGAAGAAATTCAACAACACAAGACAGTTTAAATGCACAGACACACGGGTAATTTATATACAATATACACACGAGCCCACATAGACGTCCTATGCTAGAAGAGGTTACACCTAACTTTTTGACTAATTTAAAAGCACCTATAGCCCAGGCCTAGCCTTGCTGGTCAATACACACCTCGGGAACGCCCTCCCGATAGCGCTCGAATTCCTAAGAAAACACCATATGCCAGAACAACTTTATCTCACTTCTCTATTTCTCTGCTGGTGTTGCTAAATTTTTGACTAATTTAAAAGCATCTTTCAGCCCAGAGCCTCGCTCTTGCTGATCAATTACCCGTCTCAAGTACGCCGCCTTGAAAACGGCCTCATTACTAAGTTCTAGTACTTTAAAACTGCTTCCCCGCCCGGACACCCGGATCTCCACCAGCAGCGTGAAATATCCCAGATCACGCTTTTGGCTATACTTAAAGTTCACAAGCTCCTGACGTTTAAATAGGAGGCAGCCGGTCCGCGACTCTACCTGCCAATTAATGCAGTATAAGACACTCACTCCTAGAATGCCTGGCCATTAAGGGCGTCCCAAAATTCCCCCGGTAGGCCAAAACCGAGCTTAAACATAACAACGCGTCCGTTGCATGTGGCGTCTGCCAAAACGCTGAACAACTGCATTCATAGGGGCCGCGCCCCAGTCCTAATCAAATTTACTTATTTTAAAAGCCTCACTGTGGGTACCCTGCCCTCCAGTTTAATTACCTGAGACCCAAAACCGCGTTTTTGCTACCCAATCAAAACCAAATTATCCCTACACTACCGATTGACTGGCTGGCATTCCCAGTCAACCCACATTTAAACCTCTTAAACCGTATTTATTTGTTTCCACACACCTCAAACCGTATTAACTTAAACACATAACCTCTTAACTCAAAGTTCACCCCCAAAATAAACAGCAATGAATTTAGTCAGACTCATTTGCCCTATTTTAAAACTAATTACACAAGATCACTATGGACCAACGCCAGAAGCCCAGACTGAGTGAATATTATTTAATTAAATTTAGTTTTAACTTCCAATATAGCGCCT